TATCTATCTATCTATCTATCTATCTATCTATCTATCTATCTATCTATCTGTCTATCTATCTATTGTGGTAGGGTTTCTCTGTGTAGCCCCAGCTGTCCTAAAATTTGCTTTGTAGACCAGGCTGGCCCTAACTCATAGAGTTCTGGAAATATGCTGGGATTAAAGGCATGGGTCACCACCACCCAGCAAAACAGCCACATTTAATGTAGCTGCTGTATTAGCTGGCTTTCAGATACTATAACAATATACTCGAGATCATTAATTTACAACTGGTCTCCTAGTTTCAGAGGTTCTAGTCGCCATGAGAACACATGGCAGACGGAGCAAAAGTATTTATGTTAGGGCTAGGAAGCAAAGAGAGAAGTAGCCAAGGCACACAGCCTGGTTCATGGTTTTCCCTGATGATCTGATGACCTCTGACTGGGCCCCTCAGAGAGCCTACCATGTCTCACGAACTGCCCTGTGGACCAAGCCGCCTTTAACAGGATATTCAAACCCTGCTATATCAAGGGGCCACACCTGTCTAGGTACATCTCCCACTTCTGAACTTGATGACCTAACCCCTGGCTTTCTTTTGCTCTCATCAGATGCTCTGATATAGGGTCTAGCAAATGCTCCCTCTCTACCATATTTCTCCAGAAAGGACTTGCTTGTTTTGCTGTTCTAGGCTGTAAGAAAAGATGCACCTTAGCTGGGCATGGTGGTTGACACACAACTGTAATTCCAGCGCTCAGGAGGTGGAAGATCAGGAGTTCAAGACTGACATGGACTCTATAGCAAGTTTAAGGCCAGCATGGGCTACATGAGCCCCTCTCAAACAAACAAGAACAAATAGCTGCTCTATGGGGAGGGGATATCTTCTTTCTGGTGGGCCAGTTATATAATGTTACAATTTTTCTGTGTGTCTGGCATATATAATGAAAATTTTTGTAGTCTATTAAGTACCATTACTTTATTCAAGTAAAAATCCAATAAAACTCTTATAAAAGTGTTTAGTACTTTTTTTTTTTACTACCAAACTTAGTCATCTGGCAGTTAGTAGACTTATATGAAACCACTAGTCATGAGTGGTATAAATACTTTTAAGAAACTCCCAAATGTATTGAAGCTCATATATTTATTAATCTACCCCCCCCCCCTTTTGAGTCAGGGTCTCATGTAGGGCCAGGCTGTAGGCCAGGCTGGTCTGAACTTGCTCTGTACTGGAAGCTGGCCTTGAACTCCTAATCTTCTCATTGCTACCTTCCCAGTGTTGGGCATGCATCACCATGTCCAGTGTTATGTAGTTCTGGGGACTGAGGCCAGAGCTCCTGCATGCTAAGCAAGCATTCTACCACCTGAGCTATATACCCAGCATATAACTTCTTTCTTAGCAGAGGTAAAGGACATTGGGTGGAATTCCACTCTTGCTTTTTGAGTTGTATGTGTATGTGTATATATTAAGTGTATGTTTGGGAGTGTGCACATGTATGGGGAGGTGAGAAGTGTTGCATCTGTTTTTTATTTATTTATTTATTTATTTTAAATACAGGTTCTCTTAGTGGCCTGGAACTTGATAAGGCTGGCCAGGAGCCCAAGGGACCATCCTGTCTTTGTGTCCCTACTGCTGAGGTCATGTCGCTTGCTGGCACTCCTGGCTTTTCTACATGCATTCTGAGGACTGAACTCAGGTTCTCATGGTTGCGTAGTGAGCACTATACTGGCTAAGCCATCTCCCCAGCCTTTTTTCTGTGTCCCAGGATGGCTTGAAATTTGCTATTTGGCCCAGATTCATCTCATACTTGAAGGAAACCTGTAGCCAGTGCTGTGTTGTCCCACAGCTGGCCTTTTTTTTTTTTAAGATTTATTTATTTATTATAAATGCAGTATTCTGTCTGCATATACATCTGCACAGTAGAAGAGGGCACCAGATCTCATTACAGATGGCTGTGAGCCACCACATGGCTGCTGGGAATTGAATTCAGGACCTCTGGAAGAGCAGTGAGTGCTCTTAACCTCTGAGCCATCCCTTCAGCCTTCGCCTCTACCTTTTTTAGACAAGGTCTCACTATGTAACTCAGAACAGCCAAAAACTTGTGGTGATTGTGCTGCCTAAGATTCTTAAAGACCAGGATTATAGCCCTGAGCCACCATGGCTGGCCTCTCGTTGTTTTGAATTGGCCATTTTGCAATAATTTCATTAGAATGTCTTTTGAAAATTAACATATCACACCACAATCTCAGAAATGTTTTCCCATGACAACAATGCAAATAGTATAAACCCTTAAACTGACAATATTAAACTAAACTACAGTATTTTTTCATTAAACTTTTGGGTAGCCTATAAAGAAAGGGGTTTCAATGTGATGTTTTATATTTTGAGACAGGGTTTTATGCAGCCTCAATACAAGCTTGGGCTGGACATATGTTACTGATGCTCTTGCCTCCACTTCTAAAGTGCTGGGGTCACAGGTCTGAGTCACCACACCTTGATTCTAACTTTACAGTTCTTAGAAATGAATCTCATAGGAATGTCCTTATATTAGCCATTTGTGGTTCCTGCCAACCACTGATCCATTTTATATAGGTAAAATTAGTCATTTTGAGGCTATTATAGCAATATATTCACTTAATATGTAAGCTTATGTAATCTTTTTTACACTCAGCATAATGGCCTATAGATTTCTGCAAATTGTGGGTGGTCACATCATACCCGAGTCAGGAAGCTGAGAGGTAAGGGCTGATGTCCAGCCGGTTTCCTCTGTGAGGAGTCTAGGCCACGCCCATAGAATTACTGCGTCCCACATAGAAGGTAGATATTTTCACCTCAACTGACCGTAGAGATGCCCTCAGAGACATGCTTAGAGGTTTTCATTGGCAGGTCAGAATCTCATCAGGTGACGATCAAGATTAACCATCACACTGATGTTTGATTTTTTTTTTTTTTCAGTTCTAGGACTGAAGCCAGGACTTTGGACATGGTAGACTCTAGTGCTCTCCCACAAACTGGATCTCCAGCTATTTAAACATTTTAAGTTCTGGGACAGATTTTCACTAAATTCAACAAGCTCCTCCTGAATTCACTCACTCTGTATACAACCCAGATTCTCCTCCTGCAGCTTCCGGGACAGCTGGGGTTGGCATTGCCACCAGACCTGTGATAAAGGCTGTGCCGTGGCATCTCATGGCAGCTTTGACTTGCCTCATCCTGACTAGTGTTGTCGAGCATAACTGGCAAAGATTTTCTCCTGTTCTGTGGGCTGTGTGCTGTTTGTTTCTTTGCCATGCCGAAACTTTATATATTTCAGTAGTCCCATCTTCTTTCACGTAGATCCCAGAGCCTTGCAGGGAGGGATTTGAGAAAGACATCCCATTAGAACTGAGTGCTCCCAAGTCTCTCACTCACCCACATTGTCCAGTTCCCTTCTATTGAGAGAAGTTTCTCTGATGAGGACTGAGATAGCCCAGTGTCTTGAAGAACATTCTCCCTCTTCTCCTATAGCAGGTGCAACATTTCAAAATGGTTTTAAATTAAGGTTTTTGGTCCATTTTAAATTAAGTTTTGTACAAGGTGAAAGATAAGGATCTAATTTAATTCTCTGGGGTACTGAGTTTTGTCAGAACCGTTTGTTGAACAGACCCTCTTTCCTACTGCATGTATTGACTCCCTTGTCAGCGCTTCGTTGGTTTATGTCTGGGTCCTCTCTTCTGTCCCAGTGGTCTACCTGCCTGTTTTTATACCAGGACCAGACTGTGGTTGTCACTATGACTCTGTCGTATAGTTTGAGGCTGGGTTTTGTCAGGCTTGTGTTCTTTGAGCATTGTTTTGGCTATTTGTGTCTTTTCTTAAAATTTACTTAGCTTTATTTTATGTACATTAGTGTGAGGGTGTCAAATCCCCTAGAACTGGAGTTACAGATGATTGTGAGCTGCCATGTGGGTGCTGGGAACTGAACCCAGGTCCTCTGGAAGGACAGTGCTCTTAACTGCTGAGCCACCTCTCCAGCCCCTATTTGTGTCTTTTATGCATACTGGGTTGTTATTTTTCTAGATATGTGCAATAAGACACCAGAAGTTTGCTAAATACTACATTAAATCTGTAGATTACTTTTGGTGGGATATCAATTATTTTTGTAATATTAATTCTGAGAATCCAAGAAATTGAAGAGATTTTTTTTCATCCCTTAGCACCTTTGATTTTCTTAAAGCCTTGACGTTTTACTTCGTTGGTTAGGTGTATTCATAGGTACTTAATTATTACTATTATTTTTAAATTATGTACATATGTCTGTATGTGGGTTTATGCACCTGAGTACAGTGTCAATGGTAGCCTGAAGAGGGTATCAGATTCCCTAAGTCCTGGAGTTACAGGCATGTATGAGCTACCCAATATGAGCGCTGGGAATCAGACTCAGGTCCTCTAGAAGATCAGTGTGCATTCTTAACTGCTGAGCCGTCTTTATGGTCTGTAGGCACTTGACATTTTTGGGAGTTATCATGAATAGGTTAGTTTCTTTCTGGTATATGTGAAGGCTGTTGTTTTTTTTTTTAAATATTGATTTTGTACATTATAGTTTTACAGTAAGTGTTTTTACATTGAAGAATTCATATAAGTAAATTATATAAGGTCTTTAAAAAGTAGAATTATGTGATCTGCAAATGGGTTAATTGACTTCTTCCTTTCCATAGAGTGAATTTTTATTATAAATAAATGTTTTATTTTTAGGGTAAAAGAACATGTCCTTATTTAAAGCCCGTGATTTGTGGTCTACTGTGCTGGGAGAGAAGGAAGAATTTGATCAAGGCTGTTTGTGTTTGGCTGACGTGGACAACAGTGGGACTGGACAAGGTAAGGATTTTGTGGGTGCGCTTCTGTTTCCCCGGGGTTGGGGACTGAACTCGGGCCTCACACTTGCCAAGAAGGTTTTCCGATACTGGGCTATAGACTGCATTTTCCCAGGAGCAAAGAAATGACTTGGTTTTAAAAATGTGAACTAAATAGAACATGGCTGACTGCACTCTCGTAATTGTCACCGAGGTTTGACTGCGCCTCCTCCCCGCTTCTGCCCCCTCTCTGAGATTAACGTTCACTGGTAGTCCAGGCTGGCCCTGGTCTCACTCTGGTCCTCCGGAGGTTGGGATTGCAAGTGTGTGCCACTGTGTTGGGTGGTGACAGAGTTCTCACCTCTGCTTCGTTGTTTATATCATTCTTGTTTTTGTTCATTCTGTCATATTAATTTGATGGAATAGACAAATCATATGATACTTGATTTGCTACCAATTGGGGTCTTTTAAGGTATAGCTAGTAAAATATTTAAAATTAAAAAATTCATTTTGGAAATTATTTACAATGAAAAATGATATTCTTTCCCCTCCCTCCCTCCCTCCC